ATAATGTCAATTAACGACTTAGAGTCGAAATCATAATTTTAAATTATAGTTAAGATTAGTTTATGCAAGTGAAATTTGTATTATCGGGAAAAAAAAAAGAAAAAAACATATTTTTTATTAAGATTAAATATTATTCAAAGTTGTAATGTCTTGAAAGAACGAATCGTACAAAAAATGTTGAAATGAGATGTAAGCATAGAGTTTGTTTTAATAATGATTTTCTCTTGTGTTTGCAAAAAGGCATAATAATAACAAGTTTTAAGTAAAAATAGATGAGAAGAATATAGTATATATATATATATATATATTGTTTGTCTTTAAGTATATGTTATCATAATATAATTTTTGGTTAGATAAGAGAATATGTAGAAAAGAGAAGTATTCATCTAATTATTTAAAAAAGTATGTATTTAAAGTAACAGATTGATAATTGAAGAAAAAAAAATGAATTTTGCAATGAGCATAGAATGAGTATTGTAGATGAACATATGTGAAGATGAGAAAAAAAAATGAAAAGAATAGACCGGAAAAAAAAATAGAAATATATAGTCTTAAGAATTTTTTTTTGTTTGCCTAGTTTATTTCTTTTCATATATATGTAAAGAAGAAGAAGAAGAATGAATTAGTTTTCAATATTTGATAATTGTAAAAGTTAATTTGAAAATATATGTAGAAATATGAGCTTGTTTTTTTTTGTTTGTATTCTCTGTCTGAGTAGTAGGAAACTTCGAAATTCGTTTGAAGAAAAAGAAAACAGAATAGTAAATAATTAATTGAATATTCTGTAATAAAGTTGTTAACATCCACATAGTTATACGTATAATGATAAATAAAAAGTTATATATTAAAATTTCTATGAATAGAATCAAGATTTTTCTGTTTTTGATTCTATATTCCGAATAATCATATTTTTGTATCATTCGTATCTCTGTTTTTCTTTTGGATTATCGTGTTCTGTGTATTTAGTCAATAAAAAGGATATGAAATTGTAATATTTTTTTATGTCTAAATAGATAGATAGATAGATAGATAGAAATGCTCATGATTATACATCTTTCATAAGATTCAAAAAAAGAAAAAAAAAAGAAACATTGATTATATGTAGAAGAATAATTAATGTGAGGTATTTCCCTTTCGAAGAGACAAAAAAAAAAGTAAGAAAGAAAGATGTTTGTTTTAATTATTTGTATTGATAACTTGCCAATGAAGAATGACGAAAAATTTTAATTGATTCAAAATCGTTGAAGATATTTTTCGATCATGTGAAAAAAAAATGTTTTCTTTCTAAAGGTTTTTTTTTTCTTTTATTAATGAAATTCACTTAATTGAAATATGATAATAGAAAATACAATTTCGAACAAATAAACTAATGTTTCAAATTTTATGTTAATTTTCTAATAAATGAATGAATGAATGAATAGAGAATATCAAAAAAAGCAAAAAGAAATGTTTTTTTTGATAATTTTATAATGTTTTTCAGAAAAAGAAAACGAAAGAGAATATCTTCCCTTATTATGAGAATAACTTTTGAAATTTAGTCGAAACACGATAATATGGTAGATATTACACAAGAAATTTGAATAATCTTTTTATTTTTTCCTCCTTTATAATCTATCTGTCTTTTCATATATCCTTTCATTTCTCTCTCTTTATTTCAGTTCATCCATTACGTGCAAGTTCTATTGATATTTATCCAAATGCTCGATGGCAACAGAATGGTCTCACTGTCGCTGGAGGAAATCGAGATGACAATGGAATCAATCAACTCTCAAAACCATGTGGTTTATATGTGGATGATGATCAAACAATTTATGTTGCTGATCAATACAATCATCGTATTATGGAATGGAAAAGGGATGCGACGAGTGGCCAAGTGGTTGCAGGTGGAAATGGACAAGGAAGTGGAACTCATCAATTGTCTAACCCATTAGATGTGATTGTCGACAAAGAGACTGATAGTCTCATCATCTGCGATCGTTTGAATAAAAGAGTAGTTCGATGGCCTCGTCAAAATCGAACAAGTGGAGAAACAATCATCTCCAACATCAATTGTTGGGGTTTGACAATGGACGAGAATGGATCTCTCTATATCGTTGACTTTGGAAAAGCTGAAGTGAGACGATATCGAAGAGGAGAATCTCAAGGAACAGTGGTTGCAGGTGGCAATGGAAGGGGAAATCATCTCGATCAACTCTATCACCCACAATACGTATTCGTCGATCGAAATAATTCAGTATATGTGTCTGATTGGGGAAATCATCGTGTGATGAAATGGGTGGAAGGTGCAAAACAAGGCATTGTCGTGGCTGGTGGTCAAGGACAAGGAAATGGTCTTACACAATTGTATGGTCCTGAAGGAGTCGTTGTCGATGAATTGGGCACTGTCTATGTGGCTGATATGAGGAATGATCGAATCATGCGTTGGACGAAAGGAGCTACACAAGGAAGTGTTATTGTTGGTGGAAATGGACGAGGAGGACAATCGAATCAACTGAATTATCCCTTCGGTTTGTCATTCGATCGACACGGTAATCTCTATGTTGTCGATTACGAAAACCATCGAGTACAAAAATTCAACATCGAATCCAATAAAAAATGAAGAAGTATCTTTAAAAAAAAAAATTTTCTTGTACACCGTGTTCATGTTTTTTTCAAAAATTTTCAATAAATTTTCACGGATCAATAATATTAAATGATATCAACCCTGGAGCCCGATACGCCGCCATTTTTCAAGGATTCCGAAACCTTGGAATCCTTGAAAAATCCAAAATTCCCAATTCATTAAAAATCAATGAAAACTATTGCAAATCTTCGTGTTTCGATGTTTTTGACATAGTCTGACATTGTCGAACATCTGTAGAAACATAGAGTAACAGAAAAATCCTTGAAATCATCGGAACTCTATGACTTTCAGAAATCTGAAACCCTAGGATTGAAGACTGAAGTAAGCATTCCATGGCTTGAAACTTTGTGTAGCCTTCAAAATAGGGAATTCCATGATGGCGTTTATCAGAAGCAACGAATTGCTAGATATTTAGCAATCTAAATCCTTGAAACCCTTGAAATCTTGAGGATGCCTATGTCAACCTCCGGGCATGTCAAGCGTTAGTAAGGATTCCTAGGATTTCATTAGAGGAAACATTGTGTAATCTTCAAAAAGGTAAAAGTCATGGTGGTTTTGTATCAGATTCAAAGAATTCCAGGACATCCAACAGTGAGAATCCTTGAAATCCTAGAAACTTTAACGGCTTAGATGTCGATCCATAGGCTTGCGAAATTTAAGCAAGAATTTCAAGGATTCCATGATTTGAAACATTGTCTAGCTTTCAGAATAGTGAGGACCATGAGCGTGTCTATTAGATTCAAAGAATTCTAAGACATCCAACAATGAAAATCCATAAATTTCTCCAGGCTCATATGAGGGTGCGGATGTGGGTGTGGGTGTGGGTGGGGTGTACGTGTGCGTGTAGGTGTGGATGTGAGTTTGGGTGTGGGTGTGAGTGGGTATAGGGGTAGTTTTTCCTTACACCCACACCCACATTCACACACACACCCTCACCCACAATCACACGCACACGCACACGCACACCCAAACCCAAACCCGCATCCACACCCACACCCACCCTACGAA